CATAAGCCATTTCATACTACCTTTCTTGAATGATGCCAGCACATATTTTGTAAGATAAAACTGCTGTGAAATCTCACCATTTTTTCACAAGATCATTTATCGCACCTTATTGGCATCAGTTCCTAGAATAATAAGCTTTTATTGCATTTGCAATAGAAATAGAAGACTATGCAAGGCAAGTTTTCCAAGAAAAAAACACCTGTAAACAAGAACTTTTCAGAAGAAATTAAACTGAGTATTTTAATTAGTCTGGGGTTTTTTTGAGTTACATATCCATAACTACAAGAGAAAAAGAATGAATAGAAGTCTTTGACAAAGATAAATGGAGGGAGGAAAAAAAAGGATTTGTAATTGTATAACTTCCCATTAATTAATCAGATGGCTTCTTTAATTGTTCCATTTGGAACAAGAAATTTTATAGCTTTTTATAAAACATCACCAAAAATACCCCTATTTATCAAATTAGAACCCTTGCATCTAAGTATATTAAATCTAAACCTCCCACTTTTTTAGAGTAATCTTTTATCTAGTATGGTCTTATAGCCATAATATGCTGAAACATGTTTAAAGAATTCTGTGTGAAAAGATGGTTGTTTTTCAACTATTTGGAAATAAAAAGTATGCTTCATGGACATGTAGAACACAACTGGACAGTGTTTTGAATATTATATTGCTAATTTTAATCTTAGTCCAAACTCCAGCCGCTTATTCAATGTGTCAGTTTCTATCTCACCATTATTCTACCTTTTAAATTGTAACATGCACTGAAAATCTCAAACCATTTGGGAAATTATTGCACAAATGGCTGATGTGTGAACAGATTCTGGAAAGTCTCGTTGCTCCATTCAATAAAGCATACTTGCAAACCACTTCAGTGTCTTTTGATCTGCCAGTAGATGATCTTTAATATCTCCCTGGTTTGAATAAGTAGTATTTCCTCCCTTCTTCCTTTTCTCCTCACTGTGCATGCTGAAGAGCAGACCTGTTTCAGCTCCCTGTTGCCTAAGCATTGTTGAGACCTCATAGCAACAACAACCTAAATTTGCATCTGCTACGCTAACAGTGGAAAGTCCCCCAAATTCTGCAGCCTCTGTTATCTTTTACCCTCACTGCTCAGCCAAGGCCCTTGCCAAAGTGTTTTCCATCCTTTCCACTATGCCCACATTTGCTTCTACCACTAGCAGGAAGGAGGTTTGAGGTTTCCACTTTCCACTTCTCTTGGCTTCCCTGAGGATCAAAGTGATGCCTGACCAAGGCAGCATGGAGCATTAGTAACCTTTCACCACTAGCCTTCTCCTAAATACACAGCTGAGCCTCTTGGACCAGCTCACTGTATGAAACGCAAGGGCTCTCATTTCCCTGGTACGAAGCCACAGCAGCCCCGCAGTGCCCCCATAAGACGGTCTCCCACAGCAGCGCTGCTCAAAATGGGTGCACCAGCACTTTCCGACACTGGTTGCAGAATAAATACGGTTCATAACAGGATTTCTGTATTTCCATATCTGGGCTTCTGTAACTTCATTTCAATTTCTGTTTGACCTTACACAGGTGGTATTCAGCTTTCATCCAGAAAAGACAACTGATATTATGATTCAGCTATGCTCCAGCTTCCTTTGAGGAAATGATCTGGAAGGGGGCTTCACAACATTGTCCTTCTGCTTCTTCTCTCCAAAAGATGACTACAATCAAGCTGCAGATATTAAGAGTAGTGTTCAAATGAATAAGCTATTTAATGTCTTTACCTTAATGTTTTATTAGACTAAAGATTAGCTTTAGGTATTTGTTCTGGCTTCCAACAACAGATTCTTTCAAAGTTCCAGTATTATTACTACACAAACAGAAAGCCTCTTGAAATTGAATAATACTTGTTCCTGGGATATGTGGGGACACACATCTCACAAACATCAACTTGTAAAAACAAAAGTTTCATTTTACCAGAAAGAGACATGAAAGTAAATTTAAAAAAAAAAAAAAAGTTAAAGTAGAATTTGTGAAGTGGAAGGCAGTCAGAATACTGACCCATAGTAAGCACTTTTTCCTTTGCAAAGCTAGAAACCTGAGGCCCAAGTTAGGTGATGCATACCGAAGCAAATCCTCATAACTTAGTCCATTTACATTCTCTCTACTACTCCAGTCTTATCTATGGTTCTCTGCCAGGTGCTGTTTTCAGAAGCGCTATGCCCAGCCAGAACTGTCTCTATGGGCACACACGCTATGGGCAGCTCTAGAAGCACCAAGGGCTTGGGCATGGCATGGAAAAATGGAATATTATATCAAAACACTCTCTAGCTTGTGTTTATGTGTTCTCATTCCCATATGAGTGGAATGATTTAAAACTTTTGTTCATTAGTAGTGTTTACAGAAAATGAATACAAGCCTTGAACCGTAAAAAAAAGATAAAAATATTAGTCTTAATTATGTTTGAACATTAGCTCTGCTACTTAAGAATCAGTCTCCCAAAATTAACACTATAATAAAGAGCACTCTGTTGTGGTTTTTTTTCTTATTTGGCTAAACTTACTGGTGGCTTAGACTTTGCCTTCTTTTCTTTTCCTTTGTCTCCTTTTCTGTTGCTGGTAAAGTAATGCAAGGTGCCATATTCCATCAAGGCAGCAAACACAAAAATAAAGCAAACTGAAACAAAAAGGTCCATTGCAGTCACGTAGGAAACCTTTGGGAGTGACTTCCTAGCAATTGTACTCAATGTTGTCATGGTCAACACTGTTGTAATGCCTATTTGAGAAAGAGAGAAAAAAAGACAGGAAGAGGGAAGTGTGTAAGTAATCCAATCATATTGTCACCACAAAAATCCTCAAATTGCCCTTAATTCCTTCATGAGACATACAAGAACTGAGCCACACCAGAGTTCAGCGCTGATCACACTCACACACACTGGTGCTATTGCAAGAAGCCATCCCTATGGATCCAGTGGCCTCCATGGGATCATACAGAAGTCAGTACATTTCACCTTCAGTTTAAATCCCTCTCATTTTCAATACACATTGAATAAACAATGACACCGAGAAAGTCTGAGTAATTTTATAAATCTGTTCTAGAATGCACACATAAAACAAATACAATAGACAGATACAAATAAGTACACAAATTTTATGAACACAAAAAAGTTCTTTGGCTCTTGAAAGATTAAAATGTACAAAAGGACACATTCAGAAAAAAAGGTGTGTTATATATTAATAATTTCAAACTTCCAGAAAACACGAGAAAAAGGAATAATATTTCAAATTGTTTGCTTCTGACATGTAGCAGATCAAACTGGATGACCATCATGGCCCTTCCGCTCACATTCTCTAAGTTACTAACTACTTTTTCAACACTGTGTCTTAAGTAATAGAAAATGTTTCCCTTGATTCACTTACATACAAGTTAATTAAAAGAACAAGCTGGCCTTAATAGCAATGTGTTCAGAATCTCAACTATACCACTCGTCACTGGTTTAACATTTAGAACGTGCTAACACTTTCTTCTTATATTTGATTCTTCAGGGAGATGCATAATAGTCCGAAATAAAGATGTGACCTTACCTTTGGAGAGCAATACTTGAACACACAAATAATTAGTTATTTACATGGACAGGCTTATTGCAGAAAATGTGTTACACCAGTCTAAGGCAGTCTATGGCTTTTAAATCTGTATTGGTTCCGGCTGAGATTCAGTTAATTTCCCCCATAGCAGCCCTCATAGTGCTGTACTTTGCATTGGTAGCTGGGAAGTTGTTGATAACGCACCAGTGGTTTGGCTACTGCTAAGAAGAGCTCGGACAGCATCAGGGCTGTCTCTCCAACATTCCCCCTCGCCCTCACCAGTAGGTTACAGACAGGCAAGATCTGAGAATCACAGAATCATAGAATGGTTTGGGTTGGAAGGGACCTTAAAGATCATCTAGTTCCAAGCCCCCTGCCATGGGCATGGACATCTTCCACGACATGAGGTTGCTCAAAGCTTCATCCAATCTGGCCTTGAACACCTTCAAGGGTGGGGCAGCCACAACTTCTCTGGGTAACCCATTGCAGTTCTTCCCATTGCAGTTCTTCCCCCCCCTCATTGTAAAAAATTTCTTCCTTATATATAGTCGAAATCTACTCACTTTCAGTTTAAAGCCGTTGCCCTTGTCCTATCGCTACATGTCCTTGTAAAAAGCCTCTCTTCAGATTTCTTGCCGGCTCTCTTTAAGTACTGGAAGGCTGTTACAAGATCTCTCTGGAGCCTTCTCTTCTCCAGGCTGGACAGCCCCAACTCTCTCAACCTGTCTTCATAGCAGAGGTGCTCCAGCCCTCGGATCATTATCGTGGCCCTCCTCTGGACTCACTCCAGCAGCTCCATGTCCTTCTTATGTTGGGGACTCCAGAGCTGAATGCAGTATTCCAGGTGGGGTCTCAGGAGAGCGAAGTAGAGGGGTAGAATCGCTTCCCTCGACCTGCTGGCCATGCTTCTTTTGATACAGCCAAGGATACGGCTGGCTTTCTGGGCTGCCAGCACGCATTGACGGCTCATGTGGAGCTTCTCATCCACCAACACTCTCAAATCCTTCTCCTCTGGGCTACTCTCAATCCATCCTCTCCTTAGCCTGTACTTGTGCTTGGGATTGCCCCGGCCCACATGCAGGACCTTGCACTTGGCTTTGTTGAACTTCATGAGGTTCTCACAGGCCCATATCTCAAGGCTGTCGAGGTCCCTCTGGATGCCATCCCTTCCCTCCAGCGTGTCCACAACACCACACAACTTGGTGTCATCTGCAAACTTGCTGAGGGTGCACTCAATCCCACTGTCCATGCTGTCGACGAGGATGTTAAGCAGCACCAACCCCAATACTGACCTCTGAGGAATGCTGCTCGTCACTGCTCTCCATTTGGACTTTGAGCCATTGACTGCAATTCTTTGAGTGCGACCATCCAGCCAATTCCTTATCCACCAAGTGGTCCATCCGTCAAATCCATGTCTCTCAAATTTAGAGACAAAGATGTCTTGTGGGACAGTATCAAATGCTTTGGACAAGTCCAAGTAGGTGACATCACTTGCTCTTCCCTTATCTACAAATGCTGTAAACTCATCATAGAAGGCCATCAAATTAGTCAGGCAGGATTTGCCCTTAGTGAAGCCATGCTGGCCATCATCAATCACCTCCTTCTTACCATGTGCCTTAGCATAGTTTCCAGGAGCATCTGCTTCACGATCTTGCCAAAACCAGAGGTGAGACTGACTGGCCCTGAGTCTTCCTTTTTTCCCATTTTAAAGATTGGGGCTATGTTTCCCCTTTTCCAATCAGTGGGAACTTCACTAGACTGCCATGACTTCTCAAATATGATGGATAGTGGCTTAGCAACTTCATCCGCCAGTTCCCTCAGGACCCACAGAAGCACAGGTCACATGGACTTGTGCACCTTCAGGTTCTTTAGATGGTCTCGAACCTGATCTTCTCCTACAGTGGGCGGTTCTTCATTCTCCCAGTCCCTGACTTTGCCTTCTGTGACTTGGGCAGTGTGACCGAAGCTCTTGCCAGTGAAGACTGAGGCAAAAAAGTCAATCAGTACATCAGCCTTCTCCATATCCTGGGTAATCAGGTCTCCTGTTTCCTTCTGGAGAGCGCCCACGTTTTCCCTAGTCCTCCTTTTATTACTGACATACCTATAGAAGGTTTTCTTTTTGCCCTTGATGTCCCTGGTCAGATTTAATTCTATCACAGCTTTAGCATTCCTTACCTAATCCCTGGTTGCTCAGACAATTTCTCTGTATTCCTTCAGGCCTACTTGTCCCAGCTTCTACCCTCTGTAGACTTCCCTTTGGAAGAAAGAGAGGACATAGCCAGGACAGATGATCCAAATTGACCAAAGGGATATTCCATACCGTATGACTTCTGCTCAGCAACGAAAGCTAAGAGAAGGGAGGAGGAAGGGGGCTTTTGTTATTTATGACATTTGTCTTCCAGAGCAACCACTACACATACTGAAGGCCTGCTTCCTGGGAATCAGCCAGACATCACCTGCTGATAGGAAGTAGAGAATACATCTTTTGTTTTCCTTTGCCTCCACTCACGGCCTTTGCTTTTGCTTTATTAAACTGCCTTTCTATTGACACACAAGGCTTTTTTTCCATCTTACTTTCTCCCCCTCTGTCCTGCTGAGGAGGGAAGTGATAGAGCAGCTTGGTGGGCACCTGGCATCCAGCCGAGGTCAACTCACCACAAAATCAAAGCATGGAATCAGGGGTCATTATGGACAGATCCTGCAGCAGGTCATCAGTGGTGATTTTGCAATATATTTCCCAATGAAATTATATGCCTAAAGGGCAAGCAGATAACCACAGAGTTTTCCACTAGTGCTTGGCTTTAACAAGATACTTTTGAAAATCAATTAGGCATTTCTCTGCATAGTTAAATATCTAAATACCTTTAATACTCTCAAACCTTTTGCTTTGGGAAACCACAGTCTGCCAGGATCTTTCAATATATATGGAAGAAAAAAACCCAAGCCTTTTTAGTGTACCAGACCCCAGCACAGCCTCCAGTTTCCTGTTACAGCTGGTGTCCTTTCAGACGGAACCCACAATGATGTCCAATGATTAGTCAGTCAAAGAAATTTTATAATAAATTTCTAAATGAAAATTTGAAACTATCAAGAGATAGTTTCACTTATTTGTTCTAGATTTTAGGCCTCCTTCACTAAACTTTGTGGCATTTTTAAATAGCATAAAGTTAAGATCCAAGACTCAGATTTTCTTCTCTTACCTTTTCATTAGGCTACTGAGCTGTGCTTATTTTTGCTTACTTTCTTTCTCAACTGATTAATCTTGCAGGCTTGACTGCACAGTGGGCCAGTTGCAGCGGGAAAGGCATAGAGTAAAAGCCTGGCCTCACCCTTCTGGTAGGAAACACTCCTATAACATGGTGTGTTCACAATCCTATAAGCTGATGAGGAAAATTAACTCACATCTCTCACTTCCTGAGATACAGCCTCAGCTCTTGATTTTCCCCCCAAAATAGGTCATACTACCATCAACAGTTTTACAAAAGCATCTGCCACTGCTAGGCTCAAAGTTGCTACTGTGCATCCTGTGCATTCCACGCACCTCTGTCTATCCTGCTTTATGTGGGGACAATGACTCTTCTCTGAGGGAGCACATAAATCCTAAACAGTCAAATGTAGGAGACTGACACCAAAACAGGTCAGCCAAGACGACACTAGCACAGAATTATCTCTGTAGCAGAACTTGCAAGACACTTCAGTACTGTCTGTAGTAAAAGCAGGACAGTGAGACAGTTTTTGTGAGTTACATGCTTAACTGCTTAAAGTGCAACTTTGGTTGCAAATTTTCTGTCCTGTCCTGGGCTTAAAAGAACAACTGAATCATTTCTATTATCAGAAAACAAACAACCAACCAAAAAAAAACTAAAACACAACAACAGAAAACCCAACAAAAAAACCAAACAGATCTTCACAGTTTTCTCTTGTGTAGTAATGACATCCTTTGTTCCATGATGCTAAGTGAAGATTAATAATACTTGTCAGACTAGTTATTGCCATATTGCCATCCCTGGAGATGAAAAAAAGAACATAAAGGAGAAAAAATATTTTATGTGAACAACAGCAGATCCAAAAGGCTTGGATGAGGATTTCCAGATTTCCATTCTCAACACTCCCACCTTAAGCCCTGCTGTGCAATCACAGCAGGATCCTCGTAATCTTAATCTTGCAGTTCAAGAGAAAGGGTGACCAATGGTCACAATCTGAAGGGGAATAAACTGTCGTTAATTTACTCCCTGCTGCAGATTTGTATTCCCAGGGAGTACCAGACTATTCAAGGTTGAAAAAAGACATTCTTACCCAGAGAAGTCCTTGCAGGAACTGCATCCTTATTGATCCAAAATGACACCCATGAAAGAACAACTGTGAGTATACAAGGAATGTATGTCTGAATAGTAAAATATCCCATGCGTCTGCTGAGATCAAAGAAGATTGTCATAATAATATAATCACCTATAAATTAAAAAAAGAAAAAAATACTTCACGACATATTGACAGTGGTTTTCAGTTGTATCTTCATCTGTTAGTCTTGTTCTACATAGATATTACATGACATAAAACTTAACACTTTGACTTACCAGACAAGGTATGAGAAATTTCAGTTGTATTTCGTAGTCCTACAAATGCAAACTGATACAATCTCCAGTATTTTGGATCTGCCACTTCAACAGAGGTTTTCTTCCATTTGTATTCGATTTCATTTCTGGGATATCCATCTAGAATAAAACAGAGCAAATAGACTATTCAGCCACCAAAGCATGTTTTGTGATCTCTGAAGTTGTTTATAAACTAAACCAGGGCTATACATAAAGCAGATCAGAGAGAAAGCCAATTTGTAGTCTACCTGATCCACTTAAAATTTAACCACGGAATATCTAATGTCAGTTTTAAGCCTAACTAAACGTATGATCGACCAAAAACTATCTAAATACAAATGTTGAGGAAATATCCACACAATGTTCTGGAACTCAGATACAAAATACTGGCTCAGCATGATTACTATGAATTAATAAATGTAATATACATTATCATAAAAAGACTACAAAAAGTATAAAAAGACAGACACTTATTTGTACACAATTTGATAAAATTCCTATTGATATTTATTGAAAAATTCTTTGTCTATTATTCCCGGAATGGATTTTTGTGGCCTGACTCACTATCCAGTACTTCAACTTCAAGGAAGTGCAACCTTCTCAATTTTCATGTGCCTCACATGTTGCCCCACATTATCTTGCAGAAAGGCAGAAATGAAATAAGCAAGACTCACTTGTGTGGTACCACTATTTAATCAATGGAGCTACCAAAGCTCATTTAGCTGGAAGCACTCAAGAAGGAAGTACTAAATGAAAACATTAATTTAAAAAGAATCTCTGGTTTGATTTCATTACCTATTAGGTTTCACATTTAGGAATAAGTCATTTAGCTGTGTTCAAGTGGTTTGAGTTTCTTTTGCCAGTAATAGCCTAATTCCCTTAGGCAATTTATTTTTTTTTAAATATAGTTTATATTAAAGAAATGAAGCCTGAAAGTTGTGTTTCTTGCTCACATAAATAAGTCCCACTGAAAAGAGAAGGACTTCTTACACTGATTAAGCATTTATAGAAATAGGTTGAAAAAGATAGATCTTATTTTTCCTTTTAAGTATGCAACACAGAACTAATTCAAAGCTGGAAAGTCTGGCAGGCACAAAAAATAAAGTTCTTCCAGGGCAACAGATTTCCATTAACTGAAATGGGCATTGTATCAGACTCCTAAGCAATAAGATTATTTTTAAAGTTGCTTCTAAATGAAATGCATGTAATTCAATTCATTCATTACTGCATTTAATAATGCATTAAATAATGCAGTAAATCTAATCTAAACATAAACAGGTCAGTTCTTTCCTTCACTACAAGGCTTTAGAAAGTAAACATTTGCTCTCTTGCTGCCAGTGTTTAAGAAAATTTGAAGCCTGAATGTAAAGAGAAAAAAAACAATAAGAAGTATTTTACCACCTACAGCTTGAAAACTCCAGTGGACAGGAGTGTTCATCCATAGGAAAGTTATGAAGCTGAAGATAACATTCAGCATTAATTGTCAGCCTAATTAGAAAAGGAAGGGGGAGAGGGGGAAGAAAAGAATATTATATTCAAGCATCCAGACACTTCAGACTAGATAGTAAAGAACATGCACAGAAATTAATTTTGCCAATTAATGGATGTTACGCATAGCCAACTGTATATCTGCAAAAAACATCCAGCATCACTGCCAAAGAACAAAAAACTGTAATCATATGCAACCTGAGGACCTGCGTTATTTCAACTGGCATGTCAAATCATTTCAAAAATTTCAATTGATTTGGGGAGATCTCTCAGCTGTCTACCAGAAATAGGGGATAAAAGGGAAGGACTGAAGGCAGGCCAAGGAGAGGAGTTTACGATAGCAAATAAAGGAAGTTTCTGAAGAATGCATTTGTCAAGTGAAATTGCATTTGACATCATTGTATCTGGTGGCCATATACACGAGAGAGAAAGTGGCGACACTCTTGAGCTTGCTCTATACTCATGGAAGTAGCTATGGTTAAGACACTAGCGTGGATAGGAAAGAGTCGACTTGGTATTTCTACTCATTTAATACCTAAGGCATTCAAGTAATTCATGCAACTAATATACATTTTAGAAGTAGTTCAAGACTCGTAATGGTATCAGCTGAATCACTTGCTGCTTTTGAAAATACTATCACAGATTTCCGAAGAGCTTCCCAGCAATCAATGCAAAACCCAGTTCTGCTAACTTTCCCTAGGAAGGTAGGGTAAGGGGCTAGACGCCAAACTGTCTTCTTTGCATTTAAAATACCTCCTCCTTTGCTGGTAAAACTGTGAATAAAGTCAGAATATCTTCTAAGATCAACTTTGAAAATTAACATAATGCTTACATGCCTGACTGTATGCAATACTTACCTACTAGACAAAAGAGATGGGGAAAGGAAGATTCTGCCACACACTACCAGAAAGCTCTATAAGTCTGTGAACAACGTAGTTATTCTACACAAAGTATCGCTAGGACATTTCAAGAAATCTGTCCTGACCAAAAGAGAGGCAGATGAGGTTCACAAGGGAAAGTGTATTTCCCACCATACGCCAAGGAGAAGAAGGAGCACCACATTTCCAAGTAAAAGACTTGTATCCCTCTGAAGACACTTTTCAAATTTGCCAACTACAGTATATGCATTTGTTGCCTTTGTTTTCCATTTTCCAACATTTGGATAGCCAAATGCTTAAAGAAAAAGGAAACAAAACTAGACTTTTATTAAAAGCAACACAACTAGATCTGGAATCACTGATGGGTGCAATGGACAGACCAAGAACTACCCACAGAGGAGACCCAGTAAGCCTAACAGAATCACCTTGTCTGCTCCCTCAAGTACCAACAAGAAAAAAAAAGACGGGGGAGCCAGTAAACCTGGAGCACTGTCAGATCCTACTATTGTTCCTTCAATAACCAACATATGAACCTCTCAATGTTACTCCACTTTAGACAAATTCAGGTCATATCCTCACCCATAGAGATGTTCGTGTGTTGCAGTGCTGGGTGAATGCCTGTTTTACTGTTTTATTACTATCTCATTGCACTTCACAGTTTATACTTTAGCACAACAATTCTAACCTATTTCTTTGGGAGAGCTCACTTTTTTTTGGCTGCAGTTGTTTCTTTGTTTTACTTAGACCTTGTTTAAAAGAAATTGTACACTGAAACTGAATGGACAACAGAAGTGAAAACTCCAAGTATGATTCTAGAATTGTTAGCTACAAAAAGAAAAAAAAATATTAGCATATAGAGCAGAAGAGGCTCTCTAGAGATTTTTATAAACATGAGCATAACAAACTGTTTAAAAAGTGCTCTTCAGAGATATTTGTATGCTTTCAAATGAAACATATTAAGAAAAAATTCAGTGAAGAGAATCCTTTTGAAACATTCTAATTCTTCTTACTTCTGATAAAGAAGAATTTTATAAATTGTTCATACAACACATCCCATGACTGAAGTGTCAGAATAGAAGGGTACAGGCTCTTTAGGAAGGACAGGCAGGGGAGAAGAGGAGGAGTGGTTACCCTCTATGTCAAAGACCAGCTGGAGTGCATGGAGCTGCACCTGGGGACGGATGAGGTCCCAACTGAGAGCTTATGGGTTAGAATTAAAGGGAGAGCAGGGACAGGGGACATAGTACTGGGGGTCTGCTGCAGACCACCTGACCAGGAGGACCGGGTGGATGAGGCCCTCTACAGACAGATAGGAGCTGCCTCACATTCACGAGCCCTGGTCCTCATGGGGGACTTCAACCACTCCAATATCTGTTGGAAGGACACAACAGCAGGGCATAGGCAATCCAGGACGTTCCTGGAATGCATGGATGATAACTTCCTTCTCCAAGTGGTAGAGGAACCAATGAGGAGACGTGCTTTGCTCGACTTTGTTCTCACCAACAAAGAAGGGCTGGTGGGGAACGTGACGCTCAAGGACAGCCTTGTCTGCAGTGATCATGAAATGGTGGGATTCAAGATTGTTAGGGAAGCAAGGAGGGTGCACAGCAAGCTCACTACTCTGGATTTCAGGAGAGCAGACTTCGGCCTCTTCAGGGATCCCCTTGCTAGAATACAATGGGATGAAGCCCTGGAGGAAAGAGGGGCCCAAGAAAGCTGGTTAATATTCAAGGATCACCTCCTCCAAGCTCAGGAGCGGTGCATCCCAGCAAAGAGAAAGTCAAGTAGGAACACCAAGAGGCCTGCATGAATGAACAAGGAGCTCCTGGACCAACTCGGACACAAAAAGAAGGCCTACAGAGGGTGGAAACAAGGACAGGAGGCCTGGGAAGAATACAGAGCAATTGTCCGAGCAACCAGAGATCAGGTTAGGAAAGCCAAAGCCCTGATAGAGTTAAATCTGGCCAGGGACATCAAGGGCAACAAGAAAAACTTCTACAGATACGTCAGTGATAAAAAGAGATCTAGGGAAAATGTAGGCCCTCTCCGGAAGGAAATGGGGGACCTGATTACCCGGGATATGGAGAAGGCTGAGGTTCTCAATGACTTCTTTGCCTCAGTCTTCACTGGCAAGAGCTCCAGCTGCACAGCCCAAGTCACAAAAGGCAAAGGCAGGGACTGGGAGAATGAAGAACCACCCACTGTAAGAGAAGATCAGGTTTGAGACCATCTAAAGAATCTGAAGGTGGACAAGTCCATGTGACCTGATGAGGTGCATCCACAGGTCCTGAGGGAACTGGCAGATGAAGTTGCTAAGCTTGAGAAGTCGTGTCAATCTGGTGAAGTTCCCACCCACTGGAAAAGCAGAAATGTAAGCCCCCATTTTTAAAAAGGGAAAAAAGGAAGACCCAGGGAACTACAGGCCAGTCAGTCTCACCTCTCTGCCCAGCAAGATCATGGAGCAGATCCTCCTGGCGACTATGCTAAGGAACATAGAAAATAAGGAGGTGATTGGTGACAGCCAACATGTCTTCACTGAGGGCAAATCCTGTCTGACTAATTTGGTGGCCTTCTATCATGAGATTACAGCATTGATGGATAGGGGAAGAGCAACTGACATCGTCTACCTGGACCTGTCCAAAGCATTTGATACTGTCCCATATGACATCCTTGTCTCTAAACTGGAAAGACATGGTTTTGAAGGATGGACCACTCGGTGGATAAGGAATTGGCTGGATGGTCGCACTCAAAGAGTTGTGGTCAACGGTTCAAAGTCCAAGTGGAGACCAGTGACGAGTGGTGTTCCTCAGGGGTCAGTACTGGGGCCAGTGTTATTTAACATCTTTGTTGGTGACATGGACAGTGGGATCGAGTGCACCCTCAGCAAGTTTGCAGATGACACCAAGTTGTGTGGTGTTGTGGACACGCTGGAGGGAAGGGATGCCATCCAGAGGGACCTTGACAGGCTGGAGAGGTGGGCCTGTGAGAACCTAATGA